GACTGATCCAATATGGTGGACACTAGAGGGGGGGGCTGAGACACACTTAATATTATCAGCGTTCTGATGGCATTTTAGTGAAAGCTGTTTGGATGCACACTGATCCATGCAGTATTTACCAAAATGAAAACCCAGACAAGCACGGCAGTAACGGTTTCCATCATATAAGGGCAAATCTCCCTGCTGAACCTTGTTCTCTCTTCACTGCAGCTTTCTTTGGATTAGAGCTGCTAGTTTGCTCTGGGGGTGTTTAATACGGTCCCCTGTAGGGACGCATGCTGCATAAAACACCCTCCTTCACACAGTCGTTAACTCCCTGGCTCTCTGCAGAGCGTGGGGCTGAATGGCAAGAGGACGGGGTAATAAACCCAGATGTTAGCTCTGTCCTTGGGTGGGACCTGATGGATAACGGCCTCCTTTCCCCTTGCAGATACAATCACACAAAGAAAACTTGGCTGAGTTTGGTGCTTGTTTATGCTAAAATCCTCAGAGGTTCATTTCCTTAAAATCAAAAAATATGAAACGTTTTAAAAGACGCTGCGATGAGATATAGATGGAAAATTACAAGGTGTTCTGTTTAAAACAGCAGCGTTGAAAACCAGCCAAACTTTCCAGTTATTTTGCAAACAGAGGCAGTGGTTGTGCTTCCTTTAATCGATCCACCTGTGCACTCAGAGTGGACAACAACAACCTGCTTTACCTCCTAGTTAAGCCTCAGATGTTGAGATCTGCTCTGATTAACGGTAAGCAGCTTATTTCTGCTGAATAGAAGTCCCATATTTCACAAGGCAAGGAGGGCAGATTTTTGGATTAGGTGCAGGCGACAAAACAAGAACATGCATCCATAACGTCAGAATGTCCGAACATTCATTTGGTTTGTGAAACCAGCTGAATAATGTCCATTTTATCAAACTTAGGTCCAGGCTTTGGCCTTTAATACCAGTTCACCACAGCTGCCTTTTCAAAAAATGTGTACTTAGAAATACTAACTTCAAGCTCCAGATGCAAAGTTGTTTTTACTGATGGCTG